GCTCCGAGGCCCTGGGCCGCCGGGCGCTGCGGGACCGGCCTCTCCTCCCGCCGCTCTGCCCTTGGGGCGAGCTGGTCCCTGCCGCGCTCCTCCGCCGGCCGCCTCCTCCGCCCCATCCTCCCCCTCAAGGCATGTCCACAGCCCCGGCCTCTGCTTTCTCACCACCCTGATGTCCTTGTACCAGCCACGGCCGGCGCCCCTTTGTCCTTTGGGGCCAGTTGTCCCCAGGCGGATTCACTTGCTGACCCCAGGCCTCTCCAGGGCCGGGTCTCGCTGCCGGCGGCGGTGACCCCAGGCGGCCCGCGGCCCAGAGCACACAGGACATAGAGCTGGGGGGGAGTTGCGGGTGTCACACCGCATCTGCTTGTCCTCCCTGCTCTGGCCGCAGGAGACCAGAGAGGCCTGGGCCAGCCTGGGTTTGTTGGGCCCTCGGGATCTCCCAGCACAGGGTGCAGAGCTGTGGAACCCACGGCGGTCTGGATCGTGCTGCTCCTGCCACTGCCTGGGTTCATCCAGAAGGGCTTCAAAGTCCACAGCGGAGACCTGGGCACCCGGAGGGTGCGGTGGCCATTGTCACCACGGCCTGGCAGGGTTCTCTTGCTCACCTGGCCCTGGCAGGGAGCCGGGCTTGGGCACTCCTTGCTCCAGTGGCCAGGGCCTGGTGGCAAGAAGTCTAGAGGACCATGCCTGCAGCCCCAGCTGTAAGCTGACCTGGAATTAGCCCCAGGCAGATGCTTGGGAAGGCCCTCAGGCCAGGGAGCAGAGGCAGCAGTGTGGCCCCTGTACTCAGTGGGCACCCCAAGGGCCAGGGCAGGAGCAGTGGCCTGTGGGGCCTCCTGGTAAGCAGGTGGCAGTACCTGGTGTCTTGAGCAGTGGCCCTGCCTCTGAGATTGGGCTGTGCACAGGACTTTTCCAGGCGCTGTGGTGAGGCAGGACTGAGACCTTGCTCTCTTTCCTGGGCAGGTCCTGGGCTTCGCAGCCAGGCTCTAGGGCAGGACCTGGGTGTGGCACACTGGGGCAGGGGTGCAGCTGTTCAAAGCTCAGTCCTGTGTGCTTCCTCCTCCTCCCAAGTGCTGTGCTTCACTCTCCCTGACTGAGTGTGGCGGTCCCCTCTTCTGCCCTGGGGCCATGGGCTGCCCTTAATGGGGGACAGGATCATTGTCACTGAGTAGCTGGGGTGCAGGGTCTCACCTGTGTCCCCCCCTGGGTAGGAGGCTCAGGCTACAAGGAGAGAGTTAGGCTTTGGGGGGTATCCAGTCGCTGGCACGATAAGGGAACACAGGGCTGGTGTTAAGGGAAGAGGCTATCCACTTGTAGGCGCCCAGGTGGGGCCCCCAGGTGGAGCTGGACCTGTGCCGCCCGTCTGTAATCAGATGCCCCTGTGGCCACCTGCCCGCCGCCTGCCAACCAGGACTCTCCTCCCCCTCCTGCAGCTCCTGCGCAGCTGTTGCTATGGCGATGGGGAGCAGCCTGGCCTGTTGCTGCAGTTACAGTGGTGGAGGTGCCCAGTGGCAGGGCAGTGTGGGGAGGGTGGCACCTGGGCAGGGACCCTGCCTCTGGCTCCTCCTGCCCTGGGCGTGTGTGGCCTGTGCTGGTCCTGCAGCCCTGGGGCACACACAGCACCTCCTCACTGGCCCTGGCCTGGTTGCTGGCTAGAAGGGGGTGGAGACTGGCACCGGCTGGGCGGGCGTGGGGTGCGGACACACAGCATGGTGTTCCAGATCACAGAGCCCTATTGTCAGAGCACAGTGGACACAGCAGGATGGGGCTTGGGCAGCTGCACAGAGCACTGATGTTTCAGGAGGGGTGAGGGTGGGAGGGATCCACCAAAGGGACCCCCTCTGCCTGTGGGTCGGGGCTGGTCTGGAGCGGGCCCCTAGAGCATGGCTGGCCTCTGCCCTGGGCAGGGTGGGTGCGGCCGGTGAGTCCTTCGTTTTTCAGCAGCAGTGGAAAGGAGGGAGGCCCCAGGGGTGTGCGGCAGCTGCAGGCAGGTGGGCTGCATGTGGCTCAGATGGCTCCGGGGCCCTGTGCAGGTGGCTGAGCAGGTGGGAAGGGGATGAGCTGGCAGACGCCAGGGCAGGGTGGACCACAGATTGGACGATTTGTCTCTGCTGGCCCTGAGGCTCCTCAGAGGCGAGTGGTCTCCATGGCGGCTGGCAGAGCCTGGGCTGGGGACGGGAGGCCTGATTTGGTGGCAACAAACAGTGCTCACCATCTTGGTGCCCAGGAGGAACCAAGACCTTGGCTGGACCTGAAGGGCTGGTGCTGACCTCCCTGGCCTCTAGGGTGTGTGGGCTGGGCTGGGCTGGCTCTGCAGGGTGGGCTGGGGCCAGCGCGTGTCCATGCGGTCATGGGAGCCCCAGGTACCTGCTTGGTGGCCTCACTGGGTCTGCCCTTTCCAGTGGGTCCTGGCCTTCGAGATCTTCATCCCGCTAGTCCTCTTCTTCATCCTGCTGGGGCTACGGCAGAAGAAGCCCACCATCTCCGTGAAGGAAGGTGAGGCAGCAGGCGCTTGGGGGCCGGGCGGGCTGGAAGGGTGTGGGTGTCCCCACCCACCCTGTCCTTGCTCCAGGCATGGTCCCAGCCGTGTCTCCTCAAAGGCGGTGGAGGCCAGGGTTGACGCTGGTGCCTGTCCCTAGCGAGCTCGGCACTCACTGGTCTCCTCTGTTCTGTTTTGACCTGTCCCCCCGCATGGTCTCTTGTCTTCCTCGGCTGGCCCGCATGCAGTGTGTAAGTGAGCGGCTGCCTCCTTGCTGGCCAGGTGGCAGCTGCAGGATGGCCTGGCGGGGCCTCCTGGTGCAGCTTGAGCACCCCTCCCGCTTGCATTAACAGCCCTCCCAGCCTGCCTGGTGGGGTCCTGCAGAGCCCCCGTCTGTGGCCAGGAGCAGGAGGCTCACAGCCAGGGTAGTGGATGGCCACATGGAGGGGTGTGGGCAATGAAGGGCCAGGCCACCTGGCCACACTTGGTGTCCTGCTCAAGCCATGGGGGCATCTCCCCACCAGTGGTCCTGGGGAGTCACTTGGCCATGTCTTTTGGGGAAGGGGACATCTGGGCTAGCCTGAGCTGGGTCAGCCTGGGCATTCTCCCTTCACATTCCTGCAGGCTCCTGTACTCACTCTGCTAACCAGGTGACCCAAGAGGTCAGAGGTCACTGCCCAGTGGGGGCCCACATGTGCTCCCCTGGGCTCTGTGGGCAGTGCCACACCTGAATTTTTTTGCGGGTTGGTGCCAGGGTATTTTGGTCCTGCACCGGCTGAGGGGAGAGTGATGCTGGGGGCAGGTGTAGGGGAAGGGGTGGCAGGTGACCCTTTGACCTCTGACCTCCTAGAGTCCTGTGCACCGGAACTCTTGGCCTTAGCACAGCTGGGGGGTCAGGTGCTCTGTCCCCATCCTCATTTCTAGCCTGAAAGTACATTTCCTTCCCGATTTTCTCTAAATCTTGCCCCCTCGCCTCTGTCCTTGCCCCATTCCTCTCCCTATACCTCCAGCCTTCTACACGGCTTCACCCCTGACATCAGCTGGCATCCTGCCTGTCATGCAGTCGCTGTGCCCGGATGGCCAGCGGGACGAGTTTGGCTTCCTGCAGTATGCCAACTCCACGTGAGTGCCTGTCCCCGCCCCTGGGAGGTGACAGCCCTGCCCTCAGCCCCTCCATGTGGGTGACAGCCGTGGTGATGCAGGGTCACCCAGCTGCTGGAGCGCCTCAACCGAGTGGTGGAAGAGGGCAACCTGTTCGACCCTGCACGGCCCAGCCTGGGCTCAGAGCTCGAGGCCCTACGCCAGCACCTGGAAGCCCTCAGCTTGGGCCCAAGCACCTGGGAGAGCCGCCCCACTGGATCTGCAGGTGTGCTGGAGGAGCGCAGACTGAGCTCCTCAGGGTCTCCCTGGATCACAGCCTCGTACTGCACAGCGCCTCGCTCCCCACACATGCGCTTGGGGAGGGCCTGGCCGGGCTGCTGGGGTTGTGGGGCTGGGACCCCACCACTGAGGTCAGAGCCAGCCTTTAGCCCCACCCCCTGCCCGTCCAGCACCCTTCTCTCTGGACTCGGTGGCCAGGGACCCACAGGAGCTCTGGCGGTTCCTGACGCAGAACCTGTCGCTGCCCAACAGCACAGCGCAGGCCCTCCTGGCTGCTCGAGTGGACCCAGCCGAGGTGAGGGGGCTGTGTATGGGCTGGCCCCTCTGCCTCCCTGCGCCCCCTGGTGACAGCAGAGGGGGAACAAGGGGTCTGGAGCCCCCTGGCTGAGTTGTGCCCCTGCCCCCAGGTCTACCGCCTGCTGCTTGGCCCTTTGCCCACCCTGGATGGGGAGTCAGCCTTCCCCAGGGGTCAGGAGCCTTGGAGCCGCCTGGGCAGCAGCCCCCCGTTCCAGATGGAGGTGAGGGGCCTTTCTAGGGGTGGAGACCTGCCGCCTGCCTCTGGGGGCTCCCACCTGGAGGCCCTGACCCCCCTTGGTAATGTGGGGCTCCTCTTGGGAGATGGCATGGGAAGGGTGGCGGGATGATGTCTTGAGTGCCCCCTGCACTGTGGAACCCAGCAGCCTTCAAGCTGGCTTTGGGGTGGGAACAGGGCCCTTGGTCTCGTCCTGGTGACATCCCTGTGCAACCCCAGCTGTCCCTTGTTCCTGTCTGCAGGAGCTGCTGCTGGCCCCTGCCCTCCTGGAGTGGCTCACATGTGCCCCGGGCTCTGGGGACCTGGGCCGGATCCTCACCATGCCTGAGGGGCAGCAGGCGGCCCTGCAGGGCTATCAGGATGCTGTCTGCAGCGGGCAGGCTGGGGCACGTGCCCAGCGCTTCACTGGACTGGCCACAGAGCTCCGGAACCAGCTGGATGTGCCCAAGATTGCTCAGCAGGTGAGGCCTTGGCTGCCAGCTGGAGTAGCTGCTGGGTCCCCAGAGCTGTGTGGGGTCTCTGGCTGGGTAGCCCGGCCTGCCGATGACTCGTGTCCCTGCCCATCTGTCACCTGGTCTGCATCTCCAGCCCCTGGTCAGCCTCCCCTCTTGCCTCTGTCACCAGCTGTGTTCCTGCTGGTTCCCACCCTGTCTCGCCCTGACCTTGATCACCACCTGCAGCCCCTACCAAACGCTCACTGCCTGCAGACTGCACTGCCCCCATGCCCATCTCTCCCCAGCTGGGCCTGGATGCCTCCAACAGTTCTGCTGCCCAGCAGCAGGCACCGCCCCCGCGGAGGCTGCAGGCGCTCTTCGGGGACCTGCTGGATGCCCAGAAAGTCCTGCAGGATGTGGATGTGCTGTCTGCTCTGGCCCTGCTGCTCCCCCAGGGCGCCTGCACTGGCCGCACCCCGGGTCCTCTAGCCGGCGGCCCAGGGGGCGCAGTCAATGGCACGGGGGCAGGGGTGGGCACAAGTTCCAACGCCACCACCGAAGAGGGCACCCCAGCTGCCGCAGCCCCAGCCTCCCCAGACTCACTGCAGGGCCAGTGTTCCGCCTTTGTGCAGCTCTGGGCCGGACTGCAGCCCATCCTGTGTGGCAACAACCGGTAGGTAGGCAGCGGGGGTGGGGGACACCAGGAGGTCCCGGGCTTGGCCTCCTGGCCTTCCTGACCCTCCGCCTTCACCTTGAGGTCTCACTCCGCGCTGGCCCCCTATCTCAGCCCCACGCACAGTTAAGCCCCGCCCACAAAGCTAATTTGGGCCTGGCGCCCCGCCCCCAGACTCCGACCAAGCCCCACTCTTCCCCGACGCCCCGCTCTTCTCTGACGCCCCGCTCTTCCCTGACGCCCCGCCCTCTGCCCCAGCACCATCGAACCTGAGGCGCTACGGAGGGGCAACATGAGCTCTCTGGGCTTCACGAGCAAGGAACAGCGGAACCTCGGCCTTCTCGTGCACCTCATGACCAGCAATCCCAAAATCCTGTATGCGCCAGCGGGCTCGGAGGCCGACCGGGTCATCCTCAAGGTGCATGCACGGCTGGAGCCAGAGGTCCTGGGCGGGGGGGCTCTGTAGACCGGGGACCCAGCGCAGAGGCGGGCCTGTAGGATCGCAGCAGGAGGGGAGGCTTCACGTGAGGCCTGGAGCGCCGGCTGCCGGCTTCCGCTGTGCCGCCTCTGCAGGTGGGGACCCGCGGAGCTCCGGGCTTCAAGGTGCGGAGGCCCCTGGCCACGCTCTCTTGGGCTCTCACTGGGGCGCCACCTGCTGGTGGAAGAGGGTGTGCCCGGAGACCTTGCCCCCCAACTCCTCCATGGGAGGGGCCGTTTGGGGGAATGACCCGCCTGGAACAGAGGGAGGCCAGACTGCAAACGGGCCTGGCAGGGGCCAGGCTGTGGGTGGGGCCAAGGCCTGGGAGCGGGGGTCCCTAGGACACGAGGGGAGGGGAGGCGATGGCCGAGCGTCCCAAGGACACGGTGGGAAGGGCATGGAGGAAGGGGCTGGGTGATACCAGCAGGGGGAGGGGGAAGGGCAGCGGTAGGTCCAGGGGGCCCATCAGTCGTATGGGCAGGCGAGGGAGCAGAGAACCCTCTGTGCTGGTGGGGTCCTTCCTGGAGCTCATGCCCTGCCATCCGCCTCTTCAGGCCAATGAGACTTTTGCCTTCGTGGGCAACGTGACTCACTACGCCCAGGTCTGGCTTAACATCTCGGCGGAGATCCGAAGTTTCCTGGAGCAGGGCCGATTGCAGCAGCACCTGCACTGGCTGCAGCAGGTGCGGAGTGTGGGAGAAGGGCGATGGGCGAGGTCCCCTAGCAGTACCTGGAGGGGGCCACCCGCTCAGCCGGTCCTCCTCCCCCAGTACGTGGCGGATCTGCGGCTGCACCCGGAGGCACTAAACTTGTCGCTGGAAGAGCTGCCGCCCGCCCTGCGCCAGGACAACTTCTCGCTGCCCAATGGCACAGCCCTTCTGCAGCAGCTGGACACGATCGACAACGCTGCCTGCGGCTGGATCCAGTTCATGTCCAAGGTAGGCGGGAGAGCTGCGCTGGGCCAGAGGCCACGCCCCCAGCCTTGCACCTGCCCAGGGACTCCAGTGGTGTCCCTCCTCCAGGTGAGCGTGGACATCTTCAAGGGCTTTCCCGATGAGGAGAGCATTGTCAACTACACGCTCAACCAGGCCTACCAAGACAACGTCACCGTGTTTGCCAGTGAGTGCTGCCTGCCCCCCAGCCCCTAGTCCCAAGACCCCGCAGCCTGCTTCCTGCCAGGCAGGGCCTGTTTACCCTCCCACCCCTTGTCCCTGCTGCTAGTCCTCTCCAGCCTTACCTTGCTCTGGCTCCGCCCGGTAGCGCCCTCTCTTTCTGGCCCCGCCCACCCCTAAATAGCCACGCCTTGTCATCAAATCACGCCCTTAGTCCCGTCCGGTCCCGTCTCCAGGTGTCATCTTCCAGACACGGAAGGACGGCTCACTGCCGCCCCACGTGCACTACAAAATCCGCCAGAACTCCAGCTTCACTGAGAAAACCAACGAGATCCGCCGCGCCTACTGGCGGCCGGGGCCCAACACCGGGGGCCGATTCTACTTCCTCTACGGCTTTGTGTGGATCCAGGGTGAGGGGTGTGGACGGGTGGTGGGCAGGGCGGGAGGGGAGGGCCAGGTGCTGACTGCGGTCCTTCGCCCCGCAGACATGATGGAGCGGGCCATCATCAACACCTTCGTGGGGCACGACGTCGTGGAGCCCGGCAACTACGTGCAGATGTTCCCTTACCCTTGCTACACGCGGGATGAGTGAGTGCAGGGCTGGGGGCTGGGGCTGCTGGCCTGGCTCAGCGGAACCTCTCACACCCACAACCCCCCCAGCTTCCTGTTTGTCATCGAGCACATGATGCCGCTCTGCATGGTGATCTCCTGGGTGTACTCGGTGGCCATGACCATCCAGCACATCGTGGCAGAGAAGGAGCACCGGCTGAAGGAGGTGGGGCCCAGGGCGGCCGTGGCACCCCGGGGCCAGCGTGGGCCAGGGGTCCTTCCTTCCGGGGTGCTGTCCCCAGGCGGCCTACCTACATCCACCCCTGCAGGTGATGAAGACCATGGGCCTCAACAACGCTGTGCACTGGGTGGCCTGGTTCATCACGGGCTTCGTGCAGCTGTCCATCTCCGTGACCGCGCTCACCGCCATCCTCAAGTACGGCCAGGTGCTCATGCACAGCCATGTGCTCATCATCTGGCTCTTCCTTGCCGTCTACGCCGTGGCCACCATCATGTTCTGGTGAGCTGGGGTGCGGCGGGGGTGCCCGTGTCAGGGGGACGCCTCTTGGAGCCGTGCTGATGGCCACACGGCCCACCTGCCACAGCTTCTTGGTGTCCGTGCTGTACTCCAAAGCCAAGCTGGCATCGGCCTGTGGTGGTATCATCTACTTCCTGAGCTATGTGCCCTACATGTACGTGGCGATCCGAGAGGAGGTGGCCCACGACAAGATCACTGCCTTCGAGAAGTGCATCGCGGTGAGGGCGGGGGGCAGGCGGGGGCGGGCAGGCGGACGGCTGGGTCAGGGTGGGGTGGGGTGACCCCACTGGCACTGACACTGCTGTCTGTCCCCTCAGTCCCTGATGTCCACGACAGCCTTTGGCCTGGGCTCCAAGTACTTCGCCCTGTACGAGGTGGCGGGCGTGGGCATCCAGTGGCACACCTTCAGCCAGTCCCCAGTGGAAGGGGACGACTTCAACCTTCTGCTCGCCGTCACCATGCTGGTGGTGGACGCAGTGGTCTATGGTGTGCTCACGTGGTACATCGAGGCTGTGCACCCAGGTACTGACCTGGGTGGGGAAGAGCAGGGGAGAGGCCGCAGGGGGGTCCCCAGCTAGTGAGGGGGCAGCCCTCTGGGCTGCCTGCTAAAGGCAGCAGGGGTGATGCACAGCCACCCCCAGGCCCTAGGTCAGCCTTCCCTCCCCTCCCCAACCCCCAGGCATGTACGGGCTGCCCCGGCCCTGGTACTTCCCACTGCAGAAGTCCTACTGGCTGGGCAGTGGGCGGACAGAGGCCTGGGAGTGGAGCTGGCCCTGGGCGCGTGCCCCCCGCCTCAGTGTCATGGAGGAGGATCAGGCCTGTGCAATGGAGAGCCGGCGCTTCGGTGAGGCCCGAGTTGGCTTGTGGGCCAGGGTGGGTACTGGGTTTGGGTCCGGGGCTACCTCAGCTCCACCTACACTTTGTTAAACTGCCACTCTGTACAGAGGAGACCCGAGGCATGGAGGAGGAGCCCACCCACCTGCCCTTGGTTGTGTGTGTGGACAAGCTCACCAAGGTCTATAAGAACGACAAGAAGCTGGCCCTCAACAAGCTGAGCCTCAACCTGTACGAGAATCAAGTGGTCTCCTTCCTGGGCCACAACGGCGCGGGCAAGACCACCACCATGTGAGGGCCGGGGCAGTGCCCTCCCTCGCTGCAGGAAGGGCGGGGTCCCTGCCGGGTGGATCCTGACCTTGCTGCCCACCCAGGTCCATACTGACCGGCCTGTTCCCACCCACCTCGGGCTCGGCCACCATCTACGGCCACGACATCCGCACAGAAATGGACGAGATCCGCAAGAACCTGGGCATGTGTCCGCAGCACAACGTGCTCTTTGACCGGCTCACGGTGGAGGAGCACCTCTGGTTCTACTCCCGGCTCAAGAGCATGGCACAGGGAGAGATCCGCAAGGAGATGGACAAGTGGGTGGGGCAGGGGCTGGGAGCCGAGGGAGACTGGGCTGAGCGGAGGAGGGGGTGTGGGAGAGCAGAGGGGGACGCGGGGTGGGCAGGGGCGTGGGATGAGTTGGGGAGGGGCAGGGCTGGAGACGGTGTTTGGATTCAGAGTAGGCGGCGGGGCAGAAGCCTGGCACTGCATCAGCCTGCCAGCCTGCGGCCCTCCTGCCGTCTCCAGGATGATTGAGGACCTGGAGCTCTCCAACAAGCGGCACTCGCTGGTGCAGACCCTGTCAGGTGGCATGAAGCGCAAGCTGTCAGTGGCCATCGCCTTTGTGGGCGGCTCTCGCGCCATCATCCTGGACGAGCCCACTGCGGGCGTGGACCCCTACGCCCGCCGCGCCATCTGGGATCTCATCCTGAAGTACAAGCCAGGTACACAGGGTGGTGCCAGGCTGGCTCGGGCTGTGCAGGCTCCTGGCCACCCTCACCCAGCCCTGACTGTGGGTCTGGACGTCCCTCAGGACGCACTATTCTCTTGTCCACCCACCACATGGACGAGGCCGACCTGCTGGGGGACCGCATTGCCATCATCTCCCACGGGAAGCTCAAGTGCTGCGGCTCCCCCCTCTTCCTCAAGGGCGCCTACGGCGACGGGTACCGCCTCACGCTGGTCAAGCGGCCTGCCGAGCCCGGGGCCCCCGCAGGTCTGTGCTGAGGCTGCTCAAGCTGGCCTCAAGCCACCCCTTCCCAGGACCCCATGCCTCGGACCCCCGGTGGGGTGTGGATGCTCCTCTTCCCCCCACTGTGGCCTGGACTGCCCAGTGGGCCTGGCCCCTTCTCTTGTGCTCTTGTCTTGCCCTGACTGGTTCCCGTAGAGGGTTCCTCCTCCCCCTCCCCCCAGTGAATCTGCTCCCGTCTCCTCCTCCCTTCCCAGAGCCAGGGCTGGCGTCCAGCCCCCCGGGTCGGGTGCCGCTGAGCAGCTGCTCAGAGTCCCAGGTGTCCCAATTCATCCGCAAACATGTGGCATCCTGCCTGCTGGTGTCCGACACGAGCACTGAGCTCTCCTACATCCTGCCCAGCGAGGCGGCCAAGAAGGGGGCCTTCGAGCGCCTCTTCCAGGTATGAGGACCGACATAGTGGCCGAGGACAGGGAAGGAGGTGGCGCACCGCTGCCCGGTGTGCGCAGTGCTGGCTCACCCCGGCCTTCCACAGCACCTGGAGCACAGCCTGGATGCTCTGCACCTCAGCAGCTTCGGACTGATGGACACCACCCTGGAGGAGGTGTTCCTCAAGGTGTCTGAGGAGGACCAGTCCCTGGAGAACAGCGAGGCCGGTGAGAGCCCCGGGTGCCACTCATAGCCTGTGCTGCCCACGCAAGGGGCCTGCACCCAGGCCTGGGCATCTCCTCCTCTGGTCTCTGGGGCCTCTCCTGGGTGGGCATGGTGGCCACAGGTCCTGGACATACATGCAGCCTGGGAGCTGGGGTGGGCGGCCTGGGGGCAGGTGGCCCTGGCTCCTCCTAGCTCTGCTGCTCCTCTGGCCCGGCAGACATGAAGGAGTCCAGGAAGGACGTGCTGCCTGGGGCGGAGGGCCCAGTGTCTGGGGAGAGCCAGTCCGGCAACCTGGCCCGATGCTCGGAGCTGACCCAGTCCCAGGCATCGCTGCAGTCGGTGTCTTCAGTGGGCTCTGCCCGAGGTGACGAGGGAGCTGGCTACACCGATGTCTATGGTGACTACCGGCCACTCTTTGACAATCTGCAGGACCCGGACAACGTCAGCTTGCAAGGTGGGGATAGCTGGGTGAGGCTGGCTGGGTACATGGGGCGTGGGGTGCCCGCTGAGCTGCCTTCTCTGTGCAGAGGCCGAAGCGGAGGCCCTCACATGCGTGGGCCAGGGCAGCCGCAAGCTGGAGGGCTGGTGGCTGAAGGTGCGACAATTCCACGGGCTCCTGGTCAAGCGCTTCCACTGTGCCCGCCGCAACTCCAAAGCTCTGTGCTCGCAGATCCTGCTGCCTGCCTTCTTCGTCTGTGTGGCCATGACTGTGGCCCTGTCCGTCCCTGAGATCGGTATGGCCGCCTGGGGTGGCATAGGGCAGCATGGGGGCACAGCTGGCTTCCGGTCCCAGTGGGTCCTTGGTCCTCTTTCAAGCCTCCTAGGGGACATGTGCCCACCATGGATCTCATCCAGGGGCTCATGGGCAAGTTCTGTCTCCTGGGGAGCCAGACCCCAAACCTGGGCAACCTGGGCACTGGGAAGAGGGCACCAAGGCCTGGGTACCCCTGGCTGTTGCTTGGAATCTGCTTAGGGGCTCCTGCTCACCCACAGGTGACCTGCCCCCGCTGGTCCTGTCACCCTCCCAGTACCACAACTACACCCAACCCCGCGGCAACTTCATCCCCTATGCCAACGAGGAGCGCCGGGAATACCAGTAAGGCCACTGCCAGGATGACACCACGGGGAGGGGTTGGGGGAGACAGGCGCCCCAGCTTACGCTGTTGTGCCCTCCCCAGTCTGCGGCTGTCCCCAGATGCCAGCCCCCAGCAGCTGGTGAGCACGTTCCGGCTACCCTCAGGTGTGGGTGCCACCTGCGTGCTCAAGTCTCCTGCCAACGGCTCGCTGGGGCCCACACTGAACCTGAGCAGCGGGGAGTCCCGCGTGCTGGCCGCCAGGTTCTTCGACAGCATGTGCCTGGAGTCCTTCACCCAGGGGCTGCCGCTGTCCAACTTCGTGCCACCCCCTCCCTCCCCCGCCCCGTCTGACTCGCCCATGTCCCTGGATGAGGACCTGCTGCCTGCCTGGAACACCTCCCTGCCACCTACCACTGGGCCAGGTATGGGCTCTTGGGGGCTTTGGGGTGCACAAGCCAGGAGGGCTCTGTCTCACTACGCTGGTTGCACCCACAGAGACGTGGACTTCCGCACCCTCCCTGCCACGCCTGGTGCGGGAGCCAGTCCGCTGCACCTGTTCCACACAGGGCACCGGCTTCTCCTGCCCCAGCAGCGTGGGTGGGCACCCGCCACAGATGCGCGTGGTCACGGGTGACATCCTGACAGACATCACCGGCCATAATGTCTCCGAATACCTGCTCTTCACCTCCGACCGCTTCCGGCTGCATCGGTGAGCTGGGTGGGGGTGGCTGTGCCCAAGGGGCCACTGCTCACGTGACCTCACTGCCTCTCCCACCGGCCCACCCACAGGTATGGTGCCATCACCTTCGGTAATGTCCAGAAGTCCATCCCGGCCTCGTTTGGCGCCCGGGCCCCACCCATGGTACGGAAGATCGCGGTGCGCAGAGTGGCCCAGGTGAGCTGTTGCCCAGGCACCCAGCTGGTATCTGTCTGGCCCTTGCCCACTCAGGCGCCTCTCTGAGCCCATGCCTTCCCCAGGTGCTCTACAACAACAAGGGCTACCACAGCATGCCCACCTACCTCAACAGCCTCAACAATGCCATCCTGCGCGCCAACCTGCCCAAGAGTAAAGGCAACCCTGCAGCCTATGGTGAGCTGGGCATGGTGGGCTCGGGGAGCCTGGCAGGGTGACAGGAGCTGGGGGCAGCCGGGGCTGAGGCTGCCCTCCCTGTGTGCAGGCATCACCGTCACCAACCACCCCATGAACAAGACGAGCGCCAGCCTCTCCCTGGACTACCTGTAGGTGGGGCAGGCCCCGGGGGGTGGTACCCACGCTCCCTGGAGCACTGTGCGCAGCTGACCACCCCTCCCCTAGGCTGCAGGGTACAGATGTGGTCATTGCCATCTTCATCATCGTGGCCATGTCCTTCGTGCCGGCCAGCTTCGTGGTCTTCCTGGTGGCTGAGAAGTCCACCAAGGCCAAGCATCTGCAGTTTGTCAGCGGCTGCAACCCTGTCATCTACTGGCTGGCCAACTATGTGTGGGACATGGTGTGTCCCTGCCTTCCGCCCTGTCCCTGTCTCTGTCCCCGCCCCCACCCTCACCAGTCATCCTGGACCTCAGCATCCGCCCCCAGTCCTCACCAGCCGCCCTTGCCTCTGCAGCTCAACTACCTGGTCCCTGCTACCTGCTGCGTCATCATCCTGTTTGTCTTCGACCTGCCGGCCTACACATCGCCCACCAACTTTCCTGCCGTGCTGTCCTTGTTCCTGCTCTATGGGTAAGGGGTTGGGCTGCGGGCAGCTGGTCACAGCAGAGCCAGGGCTGGCTGTGACCATGCCCACCTCCCACAGGTGGTCCATCACCCCCATCATGTACCCAGCCTCCTTCTGGTTTGAGGTGCCCAGCTCGGCTTACGTGTTCCTCATTGTCATCAATCTCTTCATCGGCATCACCGCCACTGTGGCCACCTTCCTGCTGCAGCTGTTCGAGCATGACAAGGTGGCCAGTTGGGCAGGGAGGGGCGGCTGAGGCAGCCTCAGGGCGGGCCTGGGGCCGGCGATGCTGAGGCTCTGTGTGCCACCCTGGGGCCCGTAGGACCTGAAGGTCGTCAACAGCTACCTGAAAAACTGCTTCCTCATCTTCCCCAACTACAACCTGGGCCACGGGCTCATGGAGATGGCCTACAACGAGTACATCAACGAGTACTATGCCAAGATCGGTGAGGCTGCACGTGGGCACGGCGGGCGCGGGGCAGGCCCGGCGGGGAGCCCCAGGCGAGAGCACTGGCTCCCAGAGCCTCTGAGCTGGCCACCCCACAGGCCAGTTCGACAAGATGAAGTCCCCGTTCGAGTGGGACATTGTCACCCGGGGGCTGGTAGCCATGACAGTCGAGGGCTTCGTGGGCTTCTTCCTCACCCTCATGTGCCAGTACAACTTCCTGCGGCAGCCACAGTGAGTGTGCGGGCCCGGACGATGACGGGCAGGGGGCCAGGCCAGGCACTGGCCACTCTGTGGCATGCCTACAGCCAGAGGGCCGAGTGGGTGCTGGCCAGCAGGGGTGAGTGGAGGGCAGCGGGCAGGAATTGCCCACTGTGTCCCCCCAGACGCATGCCTGTGTCTACCAAGCCCGTGGAGGATGACATAGATGTGGCCAGTGAGCGGCAGCGAGTGCTGCGCGGGGATGCTGATAATGACATGGTCAAGATCGAGAACCTGACCAAGGTAGGCGTGGACTGTCAGTGACAGGGTGAGTGGGTGGGGCTACTGCTGGGGCGTGGCCAAGGGGGCGTGGCCGGGCATGGGCAGGGCGGGGCAGGCCGACTGGGCGGAGTCTCCCTGCCTGTGGTTGGTTCTCCTGCCACCCGAGCTGAGTGGTAGCTCCCTTGCCTCCAAGGTGTACAAGTCGCGGAAGATCGGACGCATCCTGGCAGTGGACCGCCTGTGTCTGGGCGTGCGTCCGGGCGAGTGCTTCGGCCTCCTGGGTGTCAATGGCGCGGGCAAGACCAGTACCTTCAAGATGCTGACCGGTGACGAGAGCACGACCGGCGGCGAGGCCTTCGTCAACGGGCACAGGTGCGGGCAAGTGTGGGGGGGTGGGGGGCCATGTGGCCCACGTGCTGACGACCCTGTGTCCTCAGCGTGCTCAAGGAGCTGCTCCAGGTGCAGCAGAGCCTCGGCTACTGCCCGCAGTTTGACGCCCTGTTCGATGAGCTCACGGCACGCGAGCACCTGCAGCTGTACACGCGGCTGCGCGGCGTCCCCTGGAAGGATGAGGCCCGGGTGAGCCGGTGGAGCATCCCCGACCCCTGACCCTGGGGCCCCGTGCCCCTGCCCACCCCCGTGTCCTTGTACTCTCACATCCGACGACCCTACACCCTGTGCTGGCCAGTTCCCACGCCTTGCTCCTGATGGGAAGCGCGCACACACACACCCGCCCTTGGGGACAGCCCGCCCTACTCCTGACATCCTCCACAGGTGGTGAAGTGGGCACTGGAGAAACTGGAGCTGACCAAGTATGCAGACAAGCCGGCTGGCACCTACAGCGGCGGCAACAAGCGGAAGCTGTCCACCGCCATTGCGCTCATCGGGTACCCCGCCTTCATCTTCCTGGTGAGCCCTGGGGGTGCGGGTCGGGTATCCCGCATCTTTCCCCCTGGTGAGCTTGGCTGGAGAGGAGGTTGGTGGGTGTTGGAGGGCTGGGCGGTGAATGGCCGAACCTGACCCCACCCCAGGATGAGCCTACCACTGGCATGGACCCCAAGGCACGGCGCTTCCTCTGGAACCTCATTCTCGACCTCATCAAGACGGGGCGCTCGGTGGTGCTGACGTCGCACAGGTGTGCCCTGCCCTCTTCCCGCTCCTCCACCCGCCTGGGCCCCGCCCGCAGTTTGGGTGCCAACTGCGCATGTCTGTCCGCAGCATGGAGGAGTGCGAGGCCCTGTGCACGCGGCTGGCCATCATGGTGAACGGGCGGCTGCGCTGTCTGGGCAGCATCCAGCACCTCAAGAACAGGTGAGTGCGGGTGGGGTCTGCCGCAGGCGGGGCAGAGGCTGTAGTGGCCCAAGGGCTCTCGCCACGGGCCTGTACTCTAGGTTTGGGGACGGCTACATGATCACAGTGCGGACCAAGAGCAGCCAGAGCGTGAAGGACGTGGTGCAGTTCTTCAACCGGAACTTCCCGGAAGCCATGCTCAAGGTGGGCGGGGCGGGCCTGGGCGCGGGGCGGGGCCTGCCGGAGCAGCCGCTGAGCTCGCATCTCCCATCCCAGGAGCGACACCACACGAAGGTGCAGTACCAGCTCAAGTCGGAGCACATCTCGCTGGCCCAGGTGTTTAGCAAGATGGAGCAGGTGGTGGGTGTGCTTGGCATCGAGGACTACTCAGTCAGCCAGACCACACTAGACAATGTGAGTGCCTCGGCCGTATCCACCCTCCAGTGCCGCCCTGCCCACTGCGTGGGCCGCCCACCAACGCCCCGCCCTCCTGAACCGCCCTCCAGGTGTTTGTGAACTTCGCGAAGAAGCAGAGTGACAACCTGGAGCAGCAGGAGACAGAGCCGCCCTCCGCCCTCCAGTCCCCGCTGGGCCGTCTGCTCAGCCTGCTGCGGCCCCGGCCGGCCCCCACCGAGCTCCGGGCCCTCGTGACAGATGAACCAGAGGACCTAGACACAGAGGACGAGGGCCTCATCAGCTTTGAAGAGGAGCGGGTGAGTTGTGCCCGCCATCCCACTGCCGGGCACTGTGGGTCAGGGCGGCGCGGCCAGCGCAGGACTCAGGCTGTGGGGTGGGGGAGAAATGGCCACCTGGCTTCCTGCTGTCTAGGGGTGGGGGCAGGGAGGGACCAGCGGCTGAGGGCTAGGGGTAATGGAAGACTGGGGACAGGCAGAGGAGAGGCCACACGCTGGAGCGGGTGGGAGGGAGGGACCAGCGTGAGGATCGGCAAGGGACCGGCACAGTGGCCACCAGCCCGGAGGAGCCCACACATTGAATGTGCTCAGTGAGGAGACAGAGGCCGGGGAGCCCCAGCCTCCAGGGTCCAGCCTGAGCTCCCACCCTGGAGCTGGAGGAGGGCCCCAGCCTGCCCGTCCACTGTCCCCAGGCCCAGCTCTCCTTCAACACGGACACACTCTGCTGACTGTGAGGCGCTGAGCCCGATGCATCTGCGGGGCCGGGAGTCAAGGGTGGCCAGGCCCGCCCTGTGTCTCTCGGTGCCACCTGCCGGCTGTGGAGAGGGAGGTCCAGGACCAGGGGCTCCTCGCCATCTCCAGCCCATCCTCGGCCCTGCCCTGCGGTTTCTGCAGCTGCCCTCTCTGATTGTGCCAAAGGCTGGCCCGGCCCTGGGCTACGCACACCCTCACCCTGCTTTGCCTTAAAGCCTCGGGGTCTGGCCCAGCCCCTCGTCCTGCCCTGTTCTGGGGTGCCCTTTGTCCACGGCACCCTGCAGCCAGCCAGACCAGTGGGGTTTTCTGTACTGGGGGCTGCTGGCTGCCCTGGGCTGGGGCTGCCGAGGGCGTGGGGAGGGTCCGCCTATTTATTTTGCTTTGAGAAGGAGCCCCTGGCTCGGCTGGGGATGGTGGTGTCGTCGCAGGCCAGGGGAAGCTGGCCCTGCGGCCCAGAGAGAGCCAGGCCCCGCCCCGCCCCCGCTGCCTCTGCTCACCCAGCTTGGCCCTGTCCGCTGCCCACCCGGGAGCCGGACCTGTACATAGCGCACAGATGTTTGTTTTCAATAAATGATGAAAATGCCCATAGGAGCCTGTGCATCTGGAGCGCAGGGGCCTGGGTGGGGGCTGCAGAGGGGAATACTGAGGCAGGGGCTGAGCATCACTTCCTCCCCCTCACACCACAGGTCTGAAGTGGGGTTTGCAGAGCACAGGTGCCCCCCACACCCATCCCATCTGTCTTAGTCACCCTCCTGCCACTAGGACAAAATGCCAGACACCCACAGCCTAAGGGAGGAGAGGTTTACTTGGGCTCAGTTTGCGGGGTTTCAGTCCGCGGTCAGCGGGGTCCAGCACGTTGGAGGGGCCTGGTGGATAGCTGGTTGCTGCGTGGCAGCCAGGAAGGAGTGAGAAGGAGCATCCAGGGACAGCAGTATGACCTTGTGGGCCACACTCCAGGGACACGCGTCTTCTGGCCAGGCCCTGCCTCCAAACACGGGAGACTTTGGGGGACATTTTAGCTCTAAACCTACAGCCCTTGGAGCCTTTATGTCAGGCTCCCCTGCCTGGTGCCAGGCTGGCTTCATCTGTGGGGGGTGAGGACCACGCCCAGGAGGAGCTGGCCCCAGGTGGGCACTGAAGGCCGGGTGGACATGAGTAAGGGGAGAGGCAGAGGAGGCAGAGGAGGCAGAGGAGGCATGGGGTCTAGGAGCCACAAGGTCTGCTGGAAGTGGGGCCTGGTGTGCGCCAGGCAAAGGGGGACAGTGGGATGAGGGTCCTGACTCACCCCGTGGCTGGGCCAACGTCAGACTCCCCTGAGACCAGTCAAGGGCCTGAGTGGGACAGAGCATGCCCCCTGGAGTTGTGGGGCTGGGGTGCAGCTGAGGAGCAGGGTGCTCAGTCCCTGGAATGTAGTCCCTGGAGGTGACACCCGCCGGAGGGCTGGGGCGCCTCCCCCGTATGCCAGGAAGCTGTGGCGCTCGCGTGGTCAGGAGACAACTCCTGCCGAAAGGATCCTGAGGTCCAGAGGAGGTGCTGTCCAGCTGGCACCCAGCAAAGCACCAAGTGAGCCACGCCGCCTGACTCCTGCCGAGACACGGGGCCTGCCTGGGTGAGTTGCTTCCAGCTGCAGAGTAGGGGACAGTGTGTGTCGTCCCCATCACTGTCTCTGAGCACGTTCCTGACTCAGAGGTTGCAGGAAACCACAGCACTGCCACCTGCCCTCCCGGGCCAGGGCGACAGCCTTACTCTCAGCCTGGGCAGCCCGAGTAGCAGCCTCTGCCAGGGAGCAGGGTGCCACGCTGTCCCCAGGACCCCAGGGCCCCTGGCATCCAGGGGTACTTGCTCACTGAAGGTTCTTTGTTTTTTTTTTTAAATGGAAAAATTATTTGCAGAGGGAAGAGGTGGTCCCTACTGTTGCCTCCTGGGCCCTGGCCAAGGGATTGCCACCACTGCTTCTCCTGCCAGCGTTTAAAGGCAGAAAGTCTGTCCACGCTCTGCCTTTAAAACCTGAAAGCGGAAGTGCCGTTTCGGGATAGTAAGTCACAGAATCCAGTCTGAGAACAGCACTTCCAGCCCTCCTAAGCACTGAAGGGAGAAGTGGTCCAGCATGGGAGATACGAGCCAGAAGTCTCCGGAAGCAGCTTCTCTGCACACTCACCTTTAAAACTGTCTTAAAGACAGGGCAGGTTCAGAGTGTAGTGGAGGTTCTCTCCGTCCCGGAGTCTACAAAACACTTCTCCAGTTACCATTTTTAGAATTTCTGTACAGCAGTGACCAAGTGCTAAGAAAAATAATATCTTCCAGGACTATTTTCCTTCCTCACCTGACCACCACTGCGCAAAACCCTCGCAGAAGGTTCCTGTCTAGCCTGCAGGGCCCTCAGCCAGGACCGGTTGGACAGGCGCAGCCTCCTGCTGCTGCACGTGACCACTGGACATTTGGCAAGAACCAAGGGCCCCGGGGAACAGCCGCATGCCTATGATCCCAGCACTCAGTAGGCTGAGGCAGGAGGGTCACCGAGAGTTAGAGGCCAGCCTGGGCTACATGGTGAGACCCTGTCTCAAAAGCCAGAAATTAAGTAACACCAAGGGCCAAGGCCAGGGCTGCCGCGGTGACGGCTACTAAAACACGGCTTCCCCTCAGCGGGAAGGGTGGCTGATGAGAAAGGACAGCGGGGGTGCATTTTTGTTTTTGGTTTTACTTTGTTCTTTGATTTGGTTAATGAGAATGGAACTCAAAAGGTGTTGTATCACTTAGCTATATCCTCAGCCACTTTTTAATTAAGTGTTTTTAGACGGGGTCTCAAATTGCTGAATTCCTGAGGCGGGACTCATGATTTTCCTGCCTCAGCCTCCCAGTGCGTCAGTATCACAGGCATACACCACCCTGCTGCACACGGGAATAGCTTGTTCTCACACCCTGTCACCAGGGGCGGTGGCTGCAAAACTGTTTTCTAATTATTTCATTTTCTGCACTTATAGCTGGTATTTTTCTCTCACCAATAACCTTGTGCTTTTAAAAACACATCAGTGTGGACTTGTGGGTTTCAAAGAATCAGCAAGTTAGTGGAACACGGTGCACCTATAACCCCAGCTACCGGGGAAACTGAGGCAGGACTGCAGCTTTGAGGCCAGCGTAGGCAACACAGCAACATAGCGAGACTCTGTCTCAAAATTTGTTTTTTTCGGGGAAGGTGGGAGGATGGTGTGAAAAATTATTTTTTTCACAGCTCAAAGTGTGCTCCTTTGTTGGTGCATTTTACACATACATAGTGATAATGTTCATTGTAGGGAATTGTCCCTGTACATGACAGACCTGGCTGCATTTTTCCCATCCCCTGCCCTCCCGCCAACTCCGCTTCCCCTCCTTATTTACACAGCTTTGTTTCCATTTCTTTCTATGTTCTTTGTTTTCTTCTTTCTTCTTTTCATTCCCCTCCCCCCATGTTCCCCTTCCCATTTGAACGTTTTCTTTCCATTTCCCTATGTATGTTATACATTTTGGTCCTTATTTACACTTTCAGTTTCTCACACCAGAGAAACAATGTGGTTCTGCACATGTGTGTCTGATTTACTTCACTTAAGAGTAGGGTCTCAAGGTGCGTTTGTTTTCCTAGAAATGTCCCAAGCTTATCCATCTTTAACGCTGAGTAGGACTGCATAGTATAAAAGAATCACATCTTTTTTATCCATTCATTGGTTGATGGGCATTTGGGCTGTTTCCAAGATTTAGCTATTACACACTGTGCCACCGTAAACATAGGTGTGCATATATCGCTGAGGTATGATGTTTTAATTCTTTCAGGAAGATACCAAGAAGGAAAATAGCTGGGTCCAAAGGGACCTAGTCCTAGGTGGTTTTGTTTTGTTTTGTTTTGTTTTGTTTTGATACCGGGAATTGAACTCAGGACCTTGCACTTGCCAAGCAGGTGCTGTGCCACTGAGCTATATCCCTGACCAGTTGGAATGTGGAAAGCCAGTTTTTCCAGAACCATTTATTAAAGAGGGTATCTTTCTTCCAGTGAATGTGTTTGGCATGTTTAAAAAAAAAAAAAAAAGTGGCTGAGTATGTCTGGAGTTGTTTCTGCATCTTCTAATCTGTTCCACTGATCCCCAGGTCTATTTTCTGCCAGTACCATGTTTTTGTGTTGTTGTTGTTGTTGTTGTTGTTTTATCACAGTAGCTTTGTAGTATAATTTCAAGTCAGGGATTGTGATGCCCCTGCCTTGCCTTTGTTGCCTAGAATTGCTTTTGCTATTCTGGGTCTCTTCTGCTTCTAGATGAGTTTTAGGATTGTTTTATCTAACTATGTGAGATATGCTGTTGGTATTTTGACTGGAATTGCATTAAATCTGTATATCAGTTTTGGAAGTATGCAGATTTTCCCTATATTGGTACTTCCTGTCAAGAACAAAATATCTTCCCATTTTCTTTTCTTTTGTCTTTTTTTTTTTTTTTTTTTTTTTTTTTGAGACAGGGTCTTGCTATGCAGTTTAGGCTGGCCTTCAATTCACTTTATAGCTCAGGTTGGCCTCAAACTCACAAAGGATCCTCCTACCTCAGCCTCCCAAAAGCTAGGATTACGGGTGTGCGCTGCCACGCCTGGCTCCACTTTTTGATATCTTCTTTGATCTCCTTTTTTCAGAATACTGCAGCTTTCAATGTGGAGGTCTTTTACTTCCTTTGTTGATTCCCAAGTGTTTCATTTTTGGGGATGCTACTGTGAATGGTATGATTTGCCTAATTTCTCTCTCAGTGAGTTTGTTGTGTGTGTACAGGAAGGCTAGATTTTTGAGTACTGACTTTATATCCACCTACGCTACTGAATTTGCTTATTAAATCTAGAAGTCTTTGGTGGAGTTTTTGGGATCTTCTATGTCAGAAGTATGTTGAACCATCCCTGCATCCCTGGGATGAGTCCCACCTGGTCATGGTATATAATCTTCTTGATTTGTTGAATTTTATCATGTCATCCACAAATAATAATAATGTAACTTCTTCTTTTCCTGTCCTTATTCCTTTTATTTCTTTCTCTTCTCTAACTTCTCTGGCTAATGTTTCCAGAACCATGTTGAATAGGAGTGGTGACAGTGGACATTCTTGTCTTGTTCCTGATTTTAGAGTGAAAGCTTTCAGTTTTTGTCCATTTAGTATGATGTTGGCTGTTGGTTTGTCATAGAGGGCTGTTATCAGATTGAAATAAAGACCATCTATTCCAATTTTCTGTAGGGTTTTTATCATGAATGGTGTTAGACTTTGTCAAATGCTTTTTCTGCATCTATTGAGAAGATCATATGTTTTTTATCCCTCACTCTGTAGATATGGTGGATTGCATTTATTTATTTAAGTATGTTGACCATCCCTGCATCCCTAGGATGAATCCCACCTGGTCATGATGTATAATCTTCTTGATGATTTGTTGAATTTTGTTTGCCAGTATCTTATTGAGGATTTTTTCATCTGTGTTCATTAGGATGATTGGCTTGTAGTTCTCTTTTTTGGTTGGATCCTTCTCTGGTTTTGGTATCCGGATAATGCTTGCTTCCAGGAATAAATTTAGAAGTATTGCTTCCTTTTCAATTTCATT